CAACATGAAGAGGAATAATGTAAGAATTATTTGGCTTTCCAGAACAGAAAGAATCACACAAGTCCACAGATACGATAATTGAAGAGCTGCTGGAAGAAAGATTTCAGGGTGCACTTCAATTTTAACTGCTTTGTATGATTATCAGTTATGTGTTAAGATTACATGTTCAGATTTTGCTGATGGAGGAATTAAACTCTCTATAATTATAGCAAGTCTTTTCTTACTGAAAGGAGGTATAGACTCTTAATCCATATACCAAAAAAGATAAATTATAGATCTTCTGTTCAAATAAGAGTGAAAGCTATATGTAGGGGGAAAGAATGTGAAGAATATAGGAAGAGAAACAAGAGCCTGTACATGAAGTGGAGAAAACTAGATGATGCAAATTGATCTAAAACATTTTTGGAATCCCCCAAAAGCTGGTTAATGAACAACTCGGCAAAAGTGAAGGGTGAGTTTCCAGATGAGAGGACGGTCTCAGGATAGGGTATAGGAGAGGAAAAGTGTCTGTCTAGTTGCCTAAAGCTGCTATAACATAAATACCAAAAATGGATACCTTCAACAAACAGGAATTTATTTGTTCATAGTTTGTTGTTGTTTTTGTTAAGTGCTGTCAAGTTGGTCCAACTCATAGCAACCACATAAGAGTTTCTGAAGAGCAGCTGGTGAGTCTGAACTTCCAACCTTGTGGTTCACAGTCCAGTGCTGATCCTACAGTGCCTAAATTCCAAATTCAGATTGCCGACTCTAGGGGAAGGCTTTCTCTCTCTTTTGGCTCTTGAAAAACATCCTTGTCTCCTTTTAGCAGCTGTAAACCCAACATTCCTTGGAGATCTCCATGTGTCTTGACATCAATGTTCCTTTGGATCTAGGAGCTTCACAATGCAGGGACTCCAGGTACCAAGAGATGCACTCTTTTTTCTTGATGTTAGTAGGTTCCTCCTTCCTTGCTCCTTTCTCTCTCCTAGTGTGGCACTATGGGTTAATGTGCAAGACTCCAAAATCGTTTGAACTGCAAGGTCGGTAGTTCAAACTCACCAGCTGCTCCTTGGAAACCTTATACAGGGTCGCTATGGGTCAGAGATGACTCGATGGCACTTAACAACAACATAAAAGATATTGCAAGCCACATCCCCGAGGAAACCCCTTTGAATTGATTGGCTGGTCATAACAGAACTTGTCATGGAAGTTATTTCATTATATTAGATATCATCATAGGGGATTACTACATCTTACCAGAATCAAGTTGACCCAGTCAAGTTGACACAAAACCTTAGTATTACTGTCCTTAACATCAGGCAGTAGAATATATATCAGCAGCAAAAACTAAATTCTTAGGGAACACAGAAGAAAGATGGATTACCCAGATTGTTGTTATTGTTGTTGTTAGCTGCCATTGGATCAACCCCCAACTCATGGCACAATGGAATGAAATGCTACCCAGTCCTGTGCCATCCCCATGATCAGATATGGCTCAGATCATTGTGATCTCTAGGGGTTTTACTGACTGATTTTCAGATGTAGATCCTTAGGCCTTTCTTCCTAGTGGGTGTTAGTCTGGATGCTCCCCTGAAGCCTGTTGAGCATCATAGAAACATACATCCTCAAATGCAGCTTTCTGGGTTCAATATCCTAGTTGAACCACTTGTTACCACTCTTCTCATTTCTGTCTGGATCATTCTGGGGTCTCCAGATTAGAGAAACCCCTTGAATTGGATTAGATTTGGATAAATACATACTCCATAAAGAGAAAGTTGTTCTTGTTTTTAAGTGCCTTCAAGTCAGTTCTCATTCATAGCGACCCTGTATAGGGTTTCTGAAGAGTGACTAGTAAGTTTGCACTAAGTACAATTAGTGAATTTAGAGGCTGTGATTAAAGGTGGGGCAGTTGGTTGTAAAAGGAGACTTACAATTGATTTGGAGACTCTGATTAGGACCTTGCTCTTCCTGGTTTGGCTTTGTTTTCAATTGTTGTTGAAAGTATACACCAAATTCAACAATTCTGACATGTACAATTCCGTGACATTGATTATGTTCTTCAAGTTGTGCAGCCATCCTCACTCTCCTTTCGAAATTGTTCTTCCCCCATTAACATGAATGTTTATTCTGTTTTAATTCTCTTAAAGCATTAGCTGATAAAGACTTGAAATAGTATTGATGTCTCAGGATGGTACTCAGAGAGAACCTGTGTGGGTTTTGGCATTAACATAGAAGGCAGTGTAGCAGAAGCTAAGCAGCCAGTCTTTAGAATCAAACTGTAACTTTAGGTTCAAACTGTAACTCTGTCACTGGACTAGCTGTGCAACACTGAGGACCTCTCTGTGTTTCATTTTCTCCATATCCAAAATGGGAATAGAAATATAAAACCACGGTTACAAAATCTCAATGATTTCATCACAAAATTTGATCTGAGCTGATATTAGGCTATTGTTAGTTTTATTTTTGCTGCCTCATATGAATATAGGAGTCTGGGTGGTGGAAGTGGTTTGTAATCAGCTGCTAATCTAAAAGTTTGCGGTTCAAACCCACCTAACTACTTCCCAGAAGAAAGACCTTGTAGTCTATTTCCATAAAGATGGCAACTAAGAAAACCCCATAGAGTGGTTCTAGTCTGTAACACATGAGGTCACTGTGAGTTGGAGCCAGTTTGACAGCAATTAATTACATCAGCAACTGTGTGGAGAGTGACAGATTTCACTGCAGAAATACTAATGTTTGATTATGGAATGCTGTTGCCTATTCCAGTTGACGTATTACTTTGGTGTTGTTGCTAAGTGCCCTCAAGTTGGTTCCAATTCATAGCAACCCTGTATAGGGTTTTAACGAGTGACTGGTGAGTTTGAACAACTGACCTTGTGGTTAAAACTGACTTTGCAGCCCAGTGCTTGTCCTACAGTGCCACATCAGGACTAGTATATACATGATTATGTCCTTTAGAATCTAAAAAAAGTCTAAATTCTAAAATACATTTGGCTCCAAGAGTTTCTGAATGAGTAGTTCCTACTTCAGGAAGTTGCTGTAAAGATTAAATGTGCTAATTCACATAAAGCACTTAAAATAGATATGCCACCTAGTAATAACTTAATAAAAGTTGGCTATAAGAGTCCTGATGTGGCACTGTATAATAAGCACTCAGCCTCAAAGTCAGTTTGAACTACAAGGTAGGCAGTTTAAACTTACCAACCGCTCCTGGAAAACCCTATCAGGGTCGCTATGAGTTAGAACTGATTTGATGGCATTAATCAACAACAACATTATATAATAATGAGTCTTTTCTGAAGCTCTACCTTATAGAAAACTTTGAGTTGAGAAACCATCTTTTTTTTTCTTTAGGTAAATGCCTCAAGGCCTTGTGATGGGAAGGCAGTGTCTGACAGAGGAGCCCAAGGCCTTCCAGAGGGAAAAAAAATGCATTCTGAAAGGACAGTCAAGGGATACAGGTTTAATCTGAAGTCCTGGGTCTGAGAGAAAGCAGTGATTCAGAGGCTAGCAGGGCATTTCTGGCCTTAATACCCCAGGTTCCTGTGGATGCAGCCTGAGTCTCAGAGCAAGTGACCATTGGGCCTTGTGACTCAGTATCAAGCTGGGAATATCTACTGCTAAAACATTTAGCCCTCCACCGGTGGGCACTAATAAGGAGTACTGGTGGTATAAAGGTTAAGTACTTGATGACTAACCAAAAGGTCAGCACTCTGTAGGAGAAAAGACCTAGGAATTGCCTCCATAAAGATCACGGCCTTAGAAACTCTATAGGCTACTCTGTCCTGTGGGGTCACTACGAGTCAGAATCACCTTGATTGCACACAACAGCAGCAGCACCTCTTGTGGACATTGGCAACCTTGACAACGACTGGAGGGGGCCTGAGGAGTTTGAGGAGAATAATGGGGAGGAGGATCCAGAGAAACATTGTTTCTTGAACAATATTGTGACTCTTTATCCCTGACTTATGACATGGGAGATGTAGACTTCAGATAGAAAGTTGTAGAAAAAATGAAAGCAAGGGAAAGAAATGTTACTAAAAGATTATGTTTGAGTTGTAATTAAGTTGCTCTCAAATCTGTGCTTTTCTGAACCTGGTGCATCCAACAAATCATGCCATAGCTCCCATGTACAAAGATACAGTGGAGCCTGACTGGTCCCTGGTTAGCTCATTTGAAAAATGGTTCACTAGACTAAGACATTCAAAATAACAAAGCAAGTGGCAGGAAGAGGAATTTTTCAGTTCGTATAAAAGCATTTGTGTTTCTTCCAAGTGAAGTGGATACCATTTTCAAATGTACTTCCCTATTGTTCTTTTTAGCAAGATAAAAAGCAGATCAACTGAAATTGCAACACAGACCCTGTTAATGGTGATACCATATTATGTTAACACTCAAAGTGTTGAATGAGTTGTATGTCAGGCTGACAAAAGGTTCTCTTGCTTTTAAGAGAGGCCTAGTTCGGCCTGTTATTCATTTCTGAAGCTTAAATCCAGGGTATCTAGGTTTACGAGGTTAACCTCTATTTTATTATAATCCCTTCCTTGTAATAGATTCAGTTACTTTTTTCTTCTCCCCCAACTTTCACATATAGATTTTATTTAAAAAAGAAAAAAAAATCATAACAAGACCCAAACCAAGACCATTGTTCCTACTTTAGATAATGAGAAGTTTCTACAATAAGACTCTCCATCTCAAGATTTTGGACTCTATAATGTAACGCATGAATGAGTCAATGCTTTCTGCAAAGTGTTTTATTGGGGGGTGATTCAGACAAGGAAGTATTCCAGGAACCTGAATCCTGAGGAGGCAGAGAGGAGTACTCATGAGGGGATTAAGGGGAGCTGATGGAGTGCAGGAGCAAGGTTCTAACTTTGGAAGGGTGTATGAGATTATCCAGGTCTGTCCTAAAACTGCAGGGGGTCTGAGTTAAAAACTAGATTGTTGCTAGGGCTGTTAGGCTGGGATTTTAACAGGCCTGAGAATCTGGGGGCCAGGAGACACACCAGGTAAGCATCTGCTTATGTGTTCCAGAGGACAATGAGTGTGCTGATGGAGGAGGCCATGAAGAGTAGGTAGAGGCAGAAGAGCAGGGTGTCCATCATGTGACTGAACTGGACCCACAGCTCAGCCAGGTGCTGCTTCTGGGCCTCGTGTTCTTGGGCCCTTGTTGATTCAGGGCATCCATTTAACTCTGCCTCTCCAGGTCTGGGCATCTTCCCTGCTGACACCTCTGGCTCCTTCAGGCCTGTAGAGAAGACAGAGACTTGATGATGAGTTGGAAGGGTGACAGTGTGGGAAGCAGGAGGAATTGACAGAAGGAATGGGCAGTGATGACTTCCCTTACCAGGCAGGTGGGTGGAGGTGAGACCCAGGTCCTTATTTCCCTTCTGGGCTGCAGTGGGGCAGCACTTCCTGGGGCTGGTGCAGTGCAGCAGCAGGGAGTGGAGCCACTGAGGCATGGGTGGGGGCTCGCTGGTGGCCATGTGCAGCAGATAGATGATGAAGATGGTCTCCAGCAGACTGACCACCATCAGAGACAGACACAGGGCAAAGTAGACACCTGGAGGGAAGGCAGGCCTGTGTGAGACCCACAGACACTGCTGAGAACCTTTTCTTTATTCTCTTTCAATCCTAACCAGGCACAGAGCCTCCTGTTCCAAGTATGTACCTTTCCCTGAGCTAGTGCAGTCTGCCCTTCCAACCCTTCTCTTCCCAAAAATTGGGAAGCAGACACTTGGAAGAAAAGCAGGCCTAGGAAAGGGCTAGAGTGACTTCTGAGAATATATTGTTCCATCTTTTCTCAGAACCTTTTTCCAAAATCCCTTCTCACTCTGACCTGGTTCCACTGGTCCCTGTCCCCTCCTCCCACCTTGCTTTTGTTCTCTTGGTGGGGAGAAGGGGCATACTGATGAGGGGTGTGCCCCGAGTTGGGAGTAAGTCACTCATCATGAGCAGGAAGACATTGTAGCCCAACAGAAGAGTTATCTTGAATGGGGCACGATTCCCACTTTCTGCAGGTAGGTAGAAGCTGAGGGTATCAATGGCAACCAGAAAGCCACTGGGCAGCAGAAGGTTTATCACATAGAGCCTGGGCCTGCGTCTGATGACCACCTGGTAGAAAAAGAGTAACAAGTGAGGAGTAGATGGGAAGTAAGCAAGAATTGAGATTTGATTCAGACCACACTGTGTAGCAAAGAAACATCACCTCACAGCCCCTTCCTTGTGCTGTCTCTCCATCCAAAGTCATCATACTCACCACAGCCTATCTTTCCCAATTTGATTCTGCCATGCTTCTTACCTTGAAAATTTGTCTTATTCCTTCTTGACCCAAGATGTCAATTTTCTCCACTTAAATTTATCTCTGTCAATGTGCTCTTAACAGGACTATGGGTATTGTAGGCATGTCATCTTTGTATTTCTGCAGATAGAGTTTGCTGTCTTCATCAAGGTCTAATCTTTAGTAACTTTGCTGGTGGACATTAAAGACCAGTGGGAGAGAAGGCAAAACGGTGGCAGATATTTTGGGATCAGCAGGGTTTGAAATCATATTCTCTTTAAGGTGGTATTTCATAACTTTGTTTAAATAAATGTTTAAAGTCCTTTCAAAAGTTCTGATAGTCGTTAAGGAAGAGGAGCCTTATTCTCACTGTGAATCACTAGCAGAGGATCTTTGTTTCTGCCTCAAGGGAAGATTTAGCCAAAATTTAATGGGTACAAACAATGTCCCAGGTACTATTCTAGGTACTAATCTTAGGAAAAGATCCCAACCAGGGTCCCTGAGCTCATATAATAGGGGTTGATCATTGGGGTACAAGAGAGAGTAACTAAAATTCGTCCCTCTTGGAACTTACATTTTAGTAGAAGTGCTTAAATTCTACCGGTTGACATAAGCTATTAATTTTAGGAAAAGATCCCAACCAGGGCCCCTGAGCTCACATAAAAAATGATCTGGTCATACTGGTTGGTGCCCACAGTCATCTTCTTTGCTCTTTGGTGAATACTCAGAAGTACCCATTCCCCCTTGCTCCGAATGAGGTTCAGTGATGTGTTTGAAATCTCCTGCACTTTATTCTCCATGCCCAGGACCATGTTCTCCACTGCAAAGGAGACCCAGACAACTCAGCTTCTCTCACATCCCAATCATCTTGCCCAGATTGTTAGATTTCCTCACCACTTACCTTCTATACTCCTAAGTGAGATTCCGTCACTGTTTCTGGTTTCTGTCCTTTTCTCACCCAAAGCCCTTTCTCTATCTCTCAACAGTATATCTACGCCTCACTTATTGATATGATTAGTTCTCAAAGACAAGGCCATTATGCAAAAATCAGCACTAAGAAAAAAAGAGGACTCCATTATTATATAACTGCCAAATTACATCACTACATAACTGCCAAAGCACTGAGAATCATGGTCCAGCCAAGTTGTCATTTAGCCTTAACTGTCACAGCTAACATTACATCCCCCTTGCACCTCAGCATTCATTTCTGCCAGATATTTGTCTTTAATGGGCAAAATAGGAACACAGTAGATTGTTTAGTATTGTCCTAAATGCAAAATGTTGAATAACAAGAGAGTTGATAAGTGAGTACTTGCGTAATGACCCTTACTCACCTGTGTAGAGGAAAGAACCAAAGGTAAGTGTGCAGTTCTGTTGGTCAAAGGGGAAATAAAAGATGTCCAGTTTACAGATGCTGACCACCTGCATTGGCTTATCATATTTGATGCGACCTTCATTGTTTACATAAGCCATGAGATCTGTAGGTGTCTGGTCCACATCCATGCTGCATGTAAGAGGAGGATGAGGTAGGCCCTGTGAGTTTCCCATCAGACTTGGCCTGCCTTCTCGCTCAGGTTATTACACTGCTATACTCATATGACCGCCTCCTTCCACTTACCACCAGATTCTGGGTGTTTTGTAAGCTAGTTAAGTCAGAGTTTGCTCTTTTCTAAGTTGATTCTTGGTGTGGCTTCCATTGGTTACATCATGCCCTTCCCCGATGGGGTTTCCTTCTTACTTTTTTAAGTCCAGATACTCACAATTCTTCGATGAAGATATCTGGAAGCCATAGGTTCTCTGTTGTCATGCTTAGTTTCCTGATACCCCCACATTCCTTTGGGTTCCAACTGATAAATGGATTATACCAGATCTAAAAAAGACCATGCCATGAGATAAACAGAGGGAAGGAGCTCACTTTAGTCTTGCTCTGTCTCCTGCATGTTCGCCATATTGCCCCTTTCACTCATTTCTTCACTCTCCCACTGCCTCTCCAGTGACAGCTGTCACCATGTCACTAACAAGATCTTACCTGCCTCCAGTTCTCTCTCAGTGTTTTCAAGGGAGACCTTGAGCTTGGTTTTGAATACCTTGGGAAGGAGCCACTTAAGTATTAGTTTCCATGAACTTAGTTTATCCACCTTCTTCCTGTCTCATCTCTGCCCTCCTAAGCTAGCAGTATAACTGAAAAGTTGTGTGTTCTCATGTTGGTCTGACTCTGGACTTATCTAATTTGTGGGTATTCTCAGTTTTATCAAATGTAATCTGCAAAATTAGGCCCAGGAGTGGAAAAAGGAAGGTGTCATAGTAAAGGAAAGACTGAGTCTATCATTACCACGTTTAGCCACAGGAATGATGTCATCAGCTGACGTTGTGCATCCTGAAAAAAGCAATGTTCACCCAACATCAACTCCATGAAATCAGATCTAGTGCTCCCACCATCACTCATTTCCAAGGCTGTCACGTATGAGAACTGTGATTTTTCAATCATAAGCCACTGAAAAATGTAGGTCAAAACAATCCAGGGTGTGCAGAAATTGTGAATGAAAACAATAGGAGGATCCACTGGGAATAGGTTTCTTGTGTTATGTTAAAAAAAAAAAAAGGGGGGGGGGGATTTCATCTGCAGAAATGTCACTGCAGCATTCCTCTGCATGACTTCCCACCCCACAGAATGGACCTCTAATTTTACAGACTCCAATGAAGTGACGCATTGTTCACCATTGCATTGTTGGGTCAGTACTCACCACTTCTAGGATGGCAGACAGGGTGAAGGAGATGTTGACGTGAGTGGGGATGCTGTAGTTAATGACTGGACGGAAGGCCTTTCTGTCAAACACTGCTTGGAAGGCAGCAGGGTCCACCCCATGTTGGTCAAACCCTGAGCAGTTGATGGTGAAAGTGTCACCTTCTCCTGTAGAGCAGAAAGCCTGTGAGATGGGACCAGGACCTCTGTGTTCCCTCATGAGAAGTGTGACAGGGCTGGAGCCTGAGGAGTGTTTCTGCAGATAAAGTAGGGGCCACTGGGAAAAGCAGGTAAGTCTTTCCTTTCTGGGCCAAGAAGGAGGGACTGGTCTGGTAGGCAAATGGTGGAAGTTGATGACCTGAGTTGAGTCAGGGTTCTATCCTCAAGGCTATTGTTTCTGTCCCCATGCAAAACTTGTCCAAATGTGTATGCAAACGCAGTCCTGGCCACCACTTTTACAGTGTCCTGCTGTGTTTTAAATAAGCTTACCACAAACCTTTCCACCTTCATTCAATGTTCTTCCATTGTTCACCTCTGTCCTTGAATCATCCAGGTAAGGTCACTAAAAAATTTTGTAATCACAGTTCTCCTTATTGTATATAAGTCATGGTTGTGGGGTGGCTGTGCACCATTGAGTTGGTTTCAACTCATAATGACCTTGTATAGGGTTTCCAAGAAACAGAAAGCCTCATCTTTCTTCTGCAGTGCGGCTGGTGGATTCAAACTGCTAACTTTGCAGTTAGCAGTCCAACATGTAACCCAATACACTACCCGAGTTCCTCTTAATAAGTCATTTGTTGTTGTTGTTATGTACCATTGAGTCGGTTCCGATCCATAGCAACCCTGTATAGGGTTTCTGAGGAGCAGCTGGTGAGCTTGAGCCACCGACCTTGCAGTTCAAACGGCTTTGCAGTCTGGTGCATTAGCCCACAGCACCACACCAGGACTCCTAATAAGTCATAGATGATCATAAATTCATGAGAACAGACATAATCAGGTAGTTAGTGTAAGACATGTGGGATTTTAGGAAGAAGCTCGGTTTTGTGATTTCATGCATATTAACTGTGTCTCTACAACATGATCATCTAAAACTCAGTAGTCATCACTCTAATAATCTATTAAAGAGAGTTCTTACACCTAACCCTGGTGTGGCACTGTGGGTTAATGCGCTAATTAATGCAAAGTTGGTTTGAACCGTAAGATCAGTGGTTCAAGCTCACCAGCCGCTCTTCAGGATCGTTATGGGTCAGGACAGATTCAATGGCACTTAACATCAGCAACAACACACATACCCCTTTTCTAGACACATGTCTGGGATCAGAAGCAGAACATTAGGTGGTAATATCTTCTGGTACACTCTTATTGTATCTATTTGATCTTGTAACATTCCTCATTATTTGTTTTCAATAATAAACCAGAAAAAAATACTGTAGATTGGGAAAATAATGTTTCTCTCTTTTAATGTGTATCTTTTCCTCCACCTTATTCCCTTTAGCATCTTCCAGACCCATTTCACTCAGCTTTGAGAGAGCTCAGAAATAATTATTTTTACCTCAAAGATTTTGGAGATAGAATACACACCTGGAAAGAGAGAGCCATGGGGAAGGAGAAGAGACATGGGAAGTGGAAAAGTAGAAAAAGAGAACAGATTAATTGCTAGGATCCTAGGGAGAGGTCCAAAGCTTTTGGTATCATGGGCTTTCCATCTTTTATCAAAACAAATGTCCAGTCATTGAATAATAAATACTTGGCCCAAATTTCTATGGCTGTTTTGCTCTTGCTCTTGTTCCATCCTACCTTGAAGTAAAAGGTGAAGAATGAGGCAGAGGACGAATCCTTCCACATGGGTCCAACCTCTTTCCATCTTCCTCTCCTTGGCTCTTCTCTGAAGACTCAGTGATGCTGTTGACCTTAAAAGACCACAGGCCACACCTCGAGCCCTAGCTTTGAATAACATAGGTGTCAGGTAGCATTACCCACCTCTCTGACAAGCACCCCTGATGACAGGAGAATGTCACAGTTGGAATACAGTTGGAATATAACCTAACTAGACCAGAATCCAAAAGGAATCTGGCAGATCTACTTGGAGAGGGAGCAGCAGGAATATTTGTTGCTGGAACAGTGGCAATGTCACCTTCATACTTTAAAGTCACTCTGGCAGATCATTGGAAAGGCATGTCATGATTGCCAATGCCTTCAGGTGGCACATGCACTTTCTTGAACCCTGCTGCTATCTTTCAAAAAATGGGTGGTGATGGTGGTAATCCTTTATTATAATCAAATTAGACACTGAATTTGAAGAAAATTATTTCCATACTGGCAAGTCTTGACCTTCTTTTTTTTTCTAGAAAGCAATAATCTTATTATTTTTTTAAATCTATGCATGTTATAAGGTGCCATCAAGTTGATTCTGACTCACAGAGACGCCACGACAGAGCAGAATTGCCCCACAGGGTTGTCTTGGCTGTAATCTCTGGAGTCCTGATGTGGTGTTGCAGCATAAGCACTGGACTGCAAGTTCGGCATGTCAAACTCACCAGTCACTCCTTAGAAATCCTACACAGGGTTGCTATGACTCAGAACCAACTAGATGGTACTTAACAACAACAACAGTTTTCATAGAAACAGATTACCCAGTCTTTCTCCTGCACTGCTTCAAAAAGTTCATGGAAAAATTCCATTATCTTTTCATTTCAATTTTTCCAGGAACTTTTTAAAGCCCTTTGTTGTTGTTGTTAGGTACCATCAAGAGGGTATCAACTTATAGCGACTCTATGCACTACAGAACGAAACACTGCCCGGTCCTGCACCAACCTCACAATTGTTGCTGCACCTGAGCTCATTGCAGCTGCCACTGTGCCAATCCATCTGGTTGGGGTCTCCCTCTTTTTCTATGACCCTCCACTTTACCATGCATGATATCCTTCTCCAGCGACTGGTACCTTAATATGCCCAACGTATGAGAGACGAAGTCTGGCCATCCTGGTTTCCAAGGAGCACTCTGGTTATACTGCTTCCAACATAGATTTGCTTGTTCTTATGGCAGTCCATGGTACTTTTAATATTCTCCTCTAACACCATAACTTAAATGCATCAATTCTTCTATAGTCTTCCTTATTCACTGTCCAACTTTCACATGCATATGAGATGATTGGAAAAGCCATTACTTGGGTCAGACGCACCTTTGTCCTCAAGCTGACATCTTTGCTCTTCAACACTTACGTCATTTGATCTCTTGACTGCTGCTTCCATGAGTGTTGATGGTTGATCCTAGCAAAATGAAGTCTTTGACAACTTTAATCTTTTCTCCATTGATAAGAATGTTGGTTATTGGTCCAGTGGTGAAAATTTTTGCCTTTTTTACACTGAGCCCATTACAGATGGGTTATTATATTATCTTAGAATGTGCCTCTTAAAAAAAATAGAGTTTATTTTTTTCAGAGCAGTATTAGATTTACAGACAAAGTGTATGGGAAGCATAAAGAATTCTCCCTTACCCCCTCACTCCAATTCTGTCTCTTTTGAATTTTTATGTCTGTGAAAAGCAATTAGAGCCAAGTCAGCTGGATGAAGGAAGTAAATAGTGGGGTGGGAGGGAAGTAGCAGAGGTAATACTATTTTAATAGAAGTTGAGATATGATTTTGAAGAACAAGTCATGAGCTGTTGGCCTGTTGATGTTGTTTTTGGTCCTATTAATGTTTTCTTTCTAGGAGTCTTGGTGTGGCACTGTAGGATCAGTACTGGACTGTGAACCACAAGGTTGGCAGTTCAAACCCACCAGCTGTTCATTGGAAACCTTTTGCTGAGTCACTGAGTCAGAACTGACTCAATGGCACTTAACAACAACAACAACATTTTCTTTTCTTTTTAAAAAAAGAGCCCTGGTGGCTCAGAGGTGAAGTGTTAAGCTGCTGACTGAAAAATCATTGTTTGGAACCCACTAGTCTCTCTATGGGAAAAGATGAAGCCATCTGCTTCCATAAAGATTGCTGTTGTTATTAGTACTGTCGAGTTGGTTTCGACTCATAGCGACCCCATATAGGGTTTCCAAGGAGCTGCTAGTGAGCTTGACCCAATGTCTTAGATCTGACCAGCTTCCCTTATTTATATTACCTGCTTGGACTTTGTAAGGAGCCATGGTAGCACTGTGAGTTAGGTACTGGGCTGCTAACAGCAAGGTTGATGGTTCAAACCCACCAAATGCTCCAAGGAAGATAGATGAGGTACAGTCTGCTGCCATAAAGATTTACAGTCTTGGAAACCCTATATAGGGTCACTATGAGTTGGAATCAATTTGATAGTAGTGGGTGGTGGGTTTGCTTTATAAAAAGTTTCCTTATACCAACAATTTAAACTTTAGATCAACCTTTCCCAAAGTAATTTCTAGTGGTGGTGGTGGTTATGTGCCGTGGAGTCAGTTCCAACTCATAGCAACCCTGTACAGAGTTTCCAAGGCTGTAAATCTTTATGGAAACAGAAAGCCTCATCTTTCTCCCGCGGAATAGCTGGTAGTTTCGAACTGCTGACCTTGCTGTTTCCAGCCTGATTCATAACCACTACACTACCAAAGCTCCTTACTACAGGATGCTAAATTCTCCTTCTAAAACATTGTTTCTGTTATGTCACATTCAAATAAGCCTGAGAAATGCTGAATTAAACAAACCTAAACAGGTCTCAGAAGAGTTATGGGATGACATCAAGAACATCATACATGAAGAAAGCAAAAA